ATTGGATTTTTATCTATGTACCTATGAAAGATTAGGAACCCAGATGCCAGCTTCCCCAAAAGTCTGCCAAAATGTCACAGGATGAAAATACTCCCGTTCATTTCTAGAACCACAAAACTTACCAACATTGAACAGGAATGTTATCTATAGCAAGTAGAAAACCGAAAGCGGGAGTGGGAGTGATTGGACTCAGGAGCCTAAATGACCCCTTCCAACTTTATGCTGCTAGGGAGGTGACAGAGGGAATGGTGTTCAACTAGCATCAGCCTCCACCAAGTTCCAAGAGGAATTAAACCACAGAGGTCCAGCTTCCCTTCTTTATGTTGCTCTGAGGATTCAATGGCTTCTTTGCCAGCCTTGCTGTGCCTCTCCCTCCAACACTTTTGTTTAGCTATTAAGAAGACTTTTTGATGCATTGCTTTGTGGATTGTTACACTGATGAATCAAAAGACATTCTCCATGCCTATAGTTTATGTATTTAAATTCAGCTCTATAGTTTGGGCAAACTCTGTGTCCTTAACACAGGTTCTACATGATTGAGTTTGATATTTTTTTCCACAAGTCTTGGTGCTCTGCTATTGCAGGTTCCTTCCAGATCCTGCAGTTTTCCTTGTGAGCACAGTTGGGCAATCTCTGGCTTCTCCTTATCCAAAGAAATTTTGCAGGTCTGGGCTCACTGGCTGCCCCCAATCTCCATCTCAAGAGTTGTCCCTGCCCCTCAGAGATATGTTAGTTCACCATTTACTCCACCTGGAAGCCTCCTGGTTCTGATTTAAATTGGGGTAGTACAGGGAAAGGAATAAATGGGCCTTTCCACTCTACCACTGGCCTCATTCCCTAAAACCTCAGATGCTGCCTTGCCAGCCTTGCAATGTTGATCCTCTCCATGAATTGGGCAGCCTATCAAACTGGAACAGTAACATTATGTGACAGAATGCACGGGTAACAATTTTGAGGAAAGGAGAGAAAAGATGCTCCTCAGGAAATAATCAGTCAAGAGGGGCAGGAGGCCACAGTTGCTTAACAGTCAGAGAAAGAAAACTAAGAAAGCACTTGCCCTAATGGAGCAAACAGTTAAAATGGAAGTCGGGAAGTTTGTCCTTTCAAACTTGCAAGATTCTATTAATGTAACCCTACAATAATGTAGATTCAGCTCATCTAGTCATGTTTCCTGTCTGGTTTTGCCTGGGAGAACTGACAAATTGTCATTCAACCAATGCCTCCCCTCCCTTTGCAGAAAACTCTAAGATAAAGCCAGAAGGCTGCAAAAATGCCCCTTTGCTTAGTATAAAAACCATAATGCAATGGTGGTGATGGGGACCTTATGCTTAGTCAGCAAAGGCTGGAGAAGGCTGAAAGAACTCCTGCTGGGACAGATGAGCATTTAATTTTGGTAAGTTCTGAGATCCGTGTTTGAAATTCAGAAGGCCTCGTCACCCGATCCTGGTGTTTCTGTCAGCTTCAGGGCAGGGTGCTCCTTAGCAATGCCAGAAGCCACTTTCTTTCCTGTCCTGAGTGTGGCAGTTGCGCCATCTGCTGGAAACTTTTTCCTTTAGCGAAGAATTAGTTTTGTGGAAAATATCACCTCTACTTTCCAATGTAAGATATCATGATTCAGAAAAAAACAACCTTAAGCCTGAAATTTCCTAATTAAGGAACTAGATCAATGTAATTCTCATCAATCAGTTAAAGAGCTTTCCAAAAGGAAAAAAGTTTTTCCACTCTGCAAACCTCCCAAAAACCTCCATTTTCACAAAATCAGGCCTGTTTCCCTCCCCCAAAAGGCATGCATAGCCTTTTTTTTGGGGGGGGGCCCAAAAACGAGCAAAAAACGGCCTGTTTTTCATCAAAAAAATTGCATGCATAGCCTTACAGAGGCTTATAGAGTGCTGCTGAGGGCAGAAGGGGTGGGGGTCAAAATGGCCTATTCTTTGCTCATTTCTGCCCTCCCTAGCCCCCAGGAGCTTTCTGAAAGCCTTCATAAGGCTATGCATGGCCATTTTGGTGAAGGCGGCGGGGCTTCGAAAGGCAAAAAATTCTGTATTCGATGTATAAGACGCACCTAGATTTTCAGCCTTTTTGAGGAAAAAAGGTTCGTCTTATACTCTGAAAAATACGGTAACAAATGCAGCACAAAAGCTCATAAAATGGGGCAAAAACTCACATAACAAATTTTTCACTTAGCAACATAAATTTTGGGCTCAATTGTGGTCGTAAGCCGAGGACTACCTGTTTAACTTTTCTTTCCATGTAAATCCAGGAACAGGTTAGTGGGATTTAATGGAGATAGCACTGGTGGCCAAGAGACACTCAATCTAATCTACCTCGTTACATTGTCTTGAAGGGATGAGGGGAGAAATGTTTGAGGAAAGCCACCTTGGTAATTACAACAAACCTCTACAATTTTACAATATTGTGAAGGTACTTATTTGAGAGTTACCTAGTCACCTTTACTGTCTGAAGAAATATTAATTTAGGACAAGTTTGAATAAGTAATTTTATTTTTGTTCAGAATTACAATTGCTCGTGTATGCTATCATTAAAAAACATTTTTTTTCATAATTGCCAAAAAGAAATGATTCACCTGGAATGGCAAATTTTCAAGATGCAAAGGTATGGGCCATAGTAGCTTATTATACTTTTCTATACCAAATCACTCATCGCTAAGATATTCAGAAGAAGAAGAAGATACCCCCTTAAAAGAAAACAAGTATGAAATGACTCCCTCATGCTTTTTCTTCTCACCTGGATGGTACCATTCCATATGAGTGTTTAATTTTTCAGCTACTACAGGCTATTACTTACATATGCATACAAGACTGGATACAGGGTTCAACATTTGATAATCTTCCATAACAGTTTATTCTTCCATTGAAATAAGGTGCTCACTGGGCAAAAACTTTTAATATTTAAAAGGAATTAAGTCTCCCTCTGAAAACTAGCTTAAAGTCTGGATTACAGGGCAGCTCAGCCTGCTGATTTAGGAGAGAGTCTAGGCATTGCTTCTCATAGGGGCCATTGCCACTTCTATTGAGGGTGTTCCATTAGGAATGTCCGCACTTGGCCACAACGCTTTCAAACCAGGGGTCTCAGCATTTCTGAGCTCTCCTCATTGTAACCACTGCCAGGGCAGCTTAGTCCTGAGAAGCAACTTTCTTAGTCTTTCAGCACATTTTACAGATGCTGCAGCTTTTCCTTTGGCCAAGGAACTCTCTTGGAGGCCGTCCCCTCCTGGCTACTGACCCTGAACTCATAGCTTCATGAGACGAACAATGTGATCTCTGCGCCTCCTTTCCCCTGCCCAGGTCTTGCTTTTAACATGGAACTTGGCCATCTCTGCCTTGAAATCCTGGTGATCCATAGGACAGTAACTCTGTGGCTCACATAGCTCCTATCAGAAAAGGAGATCAATGATGACATATTTTCCCATAATTTAAAGCCCACAATCACAACTATTAGTCACAAAAATAACAACATGCAAAAAAGAGAATCAGTATATTATGGTTCTTTGATTTATAGGGGAAAACAAGTAAAATCTCATAATTTGTTTCCATTAAATGTTTTTTAAAAAGATAAGAATGGGATAAGGGGAAAAGCTCCTATTGCTTTTCCTTTTATTTAGTCATCAATGGAATTTATAAGCAATTCCGCTGTATTGTGACTCTGGATGCCTTACAGAGTGCAAAAATAAAATTCCAGTGTCATTCCTAGATGCCATTCCTTCCCAAATCTGGATCTAGATGTTCCAAACCAAACACAAGTATAGTGTGAAATCTTCCTTCTTTCGATTTCTCAAAGCGTCTCACTATGGGTACTACTGTGTGTGGATAAATTCGAAAGCATGCAATTTGCCAGGATATACTCTAAAGGCTTCATGGCTTTGGGAATAGGAACCTGGGTCTCTACTTTCTAGTCTAGCATTTTTACCTGTCATAGTGCACATGAAAAGGATATTCAGTTGTTTTATAACTGCATTCTTTTTTCTGATACATTATAAGATACAATATTTTTCTGTTCTTAAAGGGTTTTTTTATGCGTAAGATTGCCACATACTTTTCCAATATTTTCTTAACTGAGACTAAGTTTGAACATAATCCCAAAAGAGACAGCATCAAGTAAATCTTTGCCCAACAATCTGCCTATAGCACCACTCTGGGAAATGCAGAGTTGTGGATTAGACCAAGGCATGTATGGTCCATAGGGCTGCCTCTGAAGACAACTTGTAGACTTCTGTTTATACAAAATACCGCATCTTTTGTCAAACAGAATATTTTTCTCATTTAAAAAGAACTTGACTCATTTCAAAGTGCTGATTTAAATCTCTATATCACTCTGTAGCTTGAATCAAAATAGATAGGACTAAGTAGAAATCTAAATGTTAAAATAAGTGATAGAAACCTTTCTATGATGTCGCTTTTCCAGAAGTGAAGTGAATAGACATTAGGACTTTATCTGAAATGGAATATCCAGAAATTTGCCTGGTGCTAATTTAAGTGTTAAAAGCGTTATATTAAACTGGCTGAATTTTTATACAAATAATATCTAATTCTTAACTGCTTCTGTACTAGATTTTCATTTTTGTTACCATATTGTTGAAGGGTTCTTTATTAACGTTTCTTAGTTTACAATCCATCTAGGTAAAAAGATATGTAATACTGAAATAAGATAGGATCTTGGCTATTGTTGGAATCATCAGCATCTGACAGATGAAGTGCATTTCTATAATATATAACAATAGTCTTTGTCTCATTGTTACCTTGTTTTCTAGAAAGAACTCCTTGTAGCCACCTTGGAGGACATAAAGTTCAGGGTAGTGCAGGGCAGGATATTCATTCATGGCTCGGTCTTCCTCTCTCAGGTAACGACACCTTCACAGCAAGGCAACTGGTTATCCTGCCTGTCCAGGGACTTCCAAAAACGCCTGTTCCCCTTTTCCAAAAAGTCCCCTCCACCTCCACAGCCCTCTGTGATCCACACTCACATTTTGGGACCCCTTTCAGAAGAAAATTCACAATGGAATACAAGGAAGAGGCGCTTCTGAGGTGATGATGGAAGCAGAGGCTTCCTCAGGAAATGTTCAAATAAGTCAACTTGTCTGTGAATATTCAAGGCCCCCTGCAAAAAGAAAAAATAGTGGGTTCTGCTATAAGTAGGCCACAGACCGTGCTAGGTAGGGATGGCTGGGGGTTTTCTACTTCAACATAACTGAAGGCTACCAGACCCCATTCCTCAAGCATGCTACACATATGAGTTCCTTTGCAGAACACAATTCATCCAGAACATGAATCCCTCACCTTGATGTGGCCCCCATGATATTCATAGGGATAGCGGCAGTCAATAATGTAGAACTTCTCTACAAGGCTTTGAAATTGATTGTGGAGCAGTGCTACCACCTGTAAAAGGAGAAGAATGGCACCCACACTGATGTAATCGTCATCTCTTAAGTTTTACTTAGCTCACAGAGTTATTATGAAGGCAAAGAATAAATGCTATCCCAAGCATTTTGGCTGGAGAGTTGAATAAACATGGAGACTATGTGTAGCTGAATTCTTAGATACTCTACAGAAGAATGTTGAGGACAGAGAAGCTTGCTTGATTAGATACTACAGCATGACCCCCTTAGCTATCTTCTGAAACTTTTACAGAACCAAGTGACCCTAAATGAAAAGGAAATATAGCTAGAATTCAGCTAACCCGTGAAAGCATATTTGCAAAGTCAAAAGGAAAGAGAAAGTCAAGGCATATGAACACTTTAAAGCAGGCATGATTGCTCACAGTATCTGCAGTGATATATCTCAGATCTGAATGCCTTCCTGTGACTGTTGGCAATGCATAGACCTAGAAAAACACAATCACATTTCATGTTTAGAATTTCTACAATTCAAAAGATCCTCTAGCTTTTTCAAGCCTCAGCTAGATGAATCTTAACATCAGCAAAATAATCCTGAATGCAATTGCTAGGAAATAAGATGCACTGGATTCAGGAGAAAATGCCCCGAAGTAAATTTGCAAACATTTCACCTACATTATATATAATGTAGAAGCAATAATAAGGTGGGTTATTATAATGTAAATATACATTATGGTTCCCTATTCAAAACTTTCTACATGTTTTGAAGACAGTATAATTGTTTTGGCCATATACGAAGATTGTTTTTTCTGAGCTATTTCAGGCACTGTTGAAAATTGCACTGTTGAAAATTATTGCCTGAAAAGTTTTGATCTGAAAATCCATCTACTATCCCTTCCCAGCCTCCCACTTTGTTCTTGCGTATTTTCTTTGTTCTTACATATGTAATATTAATAAACATTTGGTATCTTCCCTTGTGGGAGTTTGCTGAATAGTGGGGTTTTCCTGGTTGGCCTATTTTTTCAAAGCCAAATAAAGATTGTTTACTGTGACTAGTATCATGGTGGTGATTACTGCAAGTTGCTCAAGGATGCACTGTAATAACACCACCACAATATATTACAGTATCCATATTATTCAAGTAATCAGGATCACAAAATGGCAATAGTAGGATGTGACAAAGGTTTTAAAAAGCAACATGGGGTGCACTTATTACAAATAAGTTTGAAGAAACAAATTTAGTATGTAAATAGGGGTTTTTTTTGTCATGACTTAAGTTTCTGCTTATTATTGTACCAGTTCACACAACTTCTATATCTGGATGACTATTTATGTACTGGTATCAGAGATATTGCTTTGCTCAAATTTAATATATGTAAGTGATGCTCTATTTTACTGAGCAGGCAAGCTCATCTAGGCAGAGTTAGAATTTGTTTGCAATCACTTTTCACTATTTTGCTCATTACTGTTGTTTTAAACTGAATGCAGGATAATGTAGTAGCTGATATCAGATTCTATTTTCTATCATTCTAATGCTTCTTTGCAAAAATGAGCTCTAGATATTTTAAGAACATTAATTTAAGATTCATGGATCTGGGAAAAAATAATGTGCACTTTTAGTTGGGTACTAAAGAGATTCAAAATATAAATCTATTAATAGCATACTGGCAGGTATTTTATGCTGAGCATCCCACTGACTACAAGAGTAGTATTAACCTTAAGAATTGTTTGTGAATCAAAAGAGGGGGTTACATAAACTCTTCCCTAAGAAATGGAACCACAGATGGCAGAATCTACAATAAAACATGCCCAAAAGTTACAAGAATATTTCAGGTTATTTCAGAGGTCTCTGGTAATCTGTGAAAATGGCCAACCACAGATGAGTCTCACATCACACCATTACAGAAGGGACCTTTCATTTGAGCTTGGTGCATTAGAATCACGCCTATCTGAATTTCCAAAAGTGAAGTAGGCTACTATGAGCTGCTACTCATACAATTCTTTTTTTTAATCAAGTTTTTTTTAGTGTATATATTTTTATATAATAAAAGTAATAACAAGAGAAAACATGGAATAATTGAATAATGATAGATCGCAACCTAATATAAATGTGTATTATTATTATTATTAGAAAAACATAAGTTGATTGAATGTAATAATTATGATTAACTTTATCAATTTTACTTATATTAGAATGTATGATACCCAAGTACCACACTGTTCACGCATTGATTCAATATATTTGTAAAAAAAAAAAAAAACACCTCATACAATTGTTAACTGAAAGTTTTAAATCACCCAACCGTAGGACATGACAAACAGCTCTTCTGATCTGTTACCTACCAGATCACGGTAGGTCTTGCCTGCCAACAAATACTCAAATTTCCCACACTGATGAACTTTTTTGTCAGTGCTTAGACTGAACAATACAGAAAACTGTTTCAGAATTGTTCAGTTATTAGGAGGGGAGGTTTGGGATAGCATGACATGGACAAAGTCAGCATTCTTCTCCCTATCCCCCCCCTCCCCCCAAAAAAACCAGAGAAGCAAGAAGGCACCTACGCTAGAGAAATCACCAATTAACTGCCTGAAGCCATGGTCTTGATCAAGGGCTCTGATGATTTCGATGTCAGACAGGGAGGCTGTTTTCTTCAAAAGCATAACCTATAAACAAGCAGGCAATCCATCAGTACCTATGCAGGCAGATCAGTCTTCTGTGCATGAGAAAGCTTTAAATAATAAAAGTATGACCATCATCTGAATCTAATTAGCTGAAGTAAATATAGGGATAACAGGCCTATGGATTATAGTTGAATCCAATGCATCATGTTTTAAATGCCAGTTGTTTGAATAGAACAGTAAAAGAGTGTAACACAACGCTGTAATAAACAAGATATTCTATTTATTACAGAATGCTGGAATAAACAATTTCTGGCCAGCAAGGTTCCTCTAAACACCTTAGTTATTTGTTACCTTCTATTCGAACAAGAGAAAAATACTTGTGCTTCCTTCGCTATTCTTCTTGACATAGTTGATCATTCTAGCCTTGATACCAAAACCCAGGAACTTAGGGGAAAGATCCTGGATATGAGGACCAACTGTTGTTTCTTACCCCTTCTGGCCCTTCTTGGATTGGGCTGCACTTCCATGTCACCTTAGCTGGAGTTTCATCATCATAGCCTTTCACTGTCCTCTTTGATGCAGGTCTGCTTAGTTTTGCTGGCAGAGATGGAGATCGGAAGAGGCAGCTCTTTTTCATGGAGACCTGCTAAATGTGTCAAACAAACACAGAGATCAAGATAAAAGGAAGGAAGGACCCTACATTTCACTTCATCAGTCTCATTAAGAGGGATGGACTGATTGATAGATTTTTCTATCAACTATACTGCCATATAACTATTGCTAGCTCTCTCAGATGAGTCTGACAGCCTCAGTTTTGCAACAGCCTTGCAAATCAGCCCACAAACTGTTTTAATGGCCCAGCCATAAACATGTTAAACATTTGAGCCTTTAAATGCTGCTGTTTCCAGACTGGATCATTTGGAAGACAAGATGTTACTTGCTACTGGTTACAAGGCAAGAGCCCGAGTTAACTAAATTGCTGTATACCTCACTGATATTGATATCCTGAGCACGGAGTGGTCCAGACAACAAGGCAGCCATGCTAGAAAGGGACATCTATGGAGGAATCACAAGAGAAAACAGAGCATTAAAAAATAGAATTGTCAGGTGAAAGGAGAACATTAGGCACTTACAGCTTTAACAGTTGTACAAAAGAAGGATTTCAACTGGGTAAGCTCACCTTACAAAATATTCTCAGTCCTCTTTTTCATCTGGCTAATGTATGCTGAACCCGACAATTATTTCGTTATACAGAAGCAGAAGAGTGGCAAATGCAGAACCACTTCTATGCAACTCTTCCTTTAATTCTGCCAGCATTTGAGTGGCAATTTCCTACTCTACAGGACTGTTGTTCCCCTCTCCCTTCCCGGGTTCCCAATCTGGATCATTTTCACATCCCACAGAGGTCAAAGTTATGAGGAAATGCACAAGGAAAGAAAGGATGGCTGTGTGGGTGAAACAAAAAGAAAAATTTTGGGATGAAAGAATGACTATATTTTAGTAAAGGTAGTCCTCGAATTATAACAGTTCATTAAGTGACCATTTGAAGTTACAGTGGCAATGAAAAAAGTGATTTATGATCGTTTTTCACACTTACAACCTCTGCAGAATTCCCATGGGTACATGATCAAAATTCAGGCGCTTGGCAACTAACTCATATTTATGATGGTTGCAAGGTCCTCAGGGCCACGTGATTACTTTTTGTGACCTTCTGACAAGCCAAGTCAATGGGGAAGCCAAATTCACTTAACAACCGTGTTACTAACTTACCAACTGCAGTGATTCTCTTAACAATGGTGGCAAGAAAGGTCATAAAATGAGGAAAAATTTACTTAACAAATGTGCTTAGCAACAGAAATCTGGCGCTCAGTTGTGTTCATTTAGAAATCTACAGATACAGTGCTAGAGAAAGGGAGGTATTTCTGAGGTGATTCAGTTCTAGAACTCATGACGAATGAGTAGCAGGCAGTATAAGAAATTCTATTGGGCTTTGGAAGAAACTCTACTTAGGGGTGTACATTTTTATCTGGCAGAAGACAAATAGAAGTGGTTTAAAGTATCTCTGCCAACAGCGTTCAACATTTTAAGATATGTTGCAGGCCGTGACTGAAATTACTAGAGTAGAAAATCTAAAAGAACTGTTATCAAAACTGTCATCAAAAATGCAATGACCAATCTTGAGCACTAGATATTTATGCAGGCAGTCCTCAACTTATGACTACAATTGAGCCCAAAATTTACTTTGCTAAGTGAGACCTTTATTAAGTGAATTTTGCCCCAATTTATGACCTTTCTTGCCACAGTTAAGTGAATCACTGCAGTTAAGTTAATAACATGGTTGTTATGTGAATTTGGCTTCGCCATTGACTTTGCTCGTCAAAAGGTCACAACTTTGGGACACTGCAGCCATCATAAATATGATGTGAAGTTTCCAAAAGATGACCTGATTAATTTACGAGTTTCGAGACAAAGTTCAAAAGAAATCCATTCATTTATTAGGATCAATATTTTGGCATGTTCTTCTGTGGAGCCGAAACTGATTTCCTCTTTATTGCGTTTGAACTTTACCCCTGTATCCCCTTCCTTCTGTCTGTGTCATAAATCATATCCACCAACAAGGTGCTGCGGCAACCTATGAACATGCGCATTTGACAGTTAGAACAATTAATCAGTGAAACAGCTTGCCTCCAGAAGTTGTGAATGCCCCAACACTGGAAGTCTTTAAGAAGATGTTGGATAGCCATTTGTCTGAAACGGTATAGGGTTTCCTGCCTAGGCAGGGAGTTGGACTAGAAGACCTCCAAGGTCCCTTCCAACTCTGCTATTGTATTGTATTGTATTGTATTGTATTTCACAAGCCAGCTGTAGGAATATGAGACCTGACTCTGGCCAAAGGTATGCATGGAATTCTCCTCCCTTCTCCTATGTCAACTTGATAGTAGTCACGGAAACGCTTTACAAGTTGACATATGAGTCGGTTGCCAAGCCTCTGGATTTTGACCATAGGTCCATGGGGATGCTGCAACGGTTGTGTGAAAAATGGTCATAAGTGCCTTCAGTGCTATTGGAACTTCAAATGGTCACTAAAGGAACTGTTATAATTGTATATATAAAGGTTATATATACAGGACTACCTGTAGTGTCTTGGAATACTGTATTTGAACTTACCCTTTGAACGAGATGCCGAGCCATTTTTTTCTAATGTTTGAAAATGTTTCAGTGTAACGGAGTACAAGCTCCTACTTCCAATTTCCCCAAAGATCATTCAGATAGCTCTTATCAAAGGCTCTCCATCCAGTGTTGCAGCAGAGGAGACCCAACACCGCTATTACTTGCCATTACTGCTATTCATGCTGGGCAAGCTATACTTGCTTTCTCTGATTCTTTTTTTTTTTTTTTAAATGAATACAACTGCCCACAAAGTGACTTTTAACTCATCCTTCTCACCTTCGTTTCTTCCTTTTTACTGGAACAGAGCTCATCAGAAAAGCTATCCAAGGCTTCTGGGACTCCTGAAACATCTATTAGGCTGCCAAGAGATTTCATCTCACAGTCCATGAAATCCTCTGCTTTCTGGAAAGAAAACCCATTACAGGTGAAATTCACCGGTTTTCAAACATGCAAATATTTACTGTATACAGGTCAGGGTGGGTTCCGGTTGCCGCTACTGCCGGTTTGTTCAGGGACGCGCCGCGTGCATGCACAGTACAACAAAAATTGCTCTGCACATGTGCAGAAGGCAAAAACAAGATTGCGGTGCCTATGGCACCGCCAAAAGAATCAGTTCAGGGGCATGGCAGGCCTAGGTAGCTGCCGGTTCCACCGACCCAGGTCGCCAAGTTACTACCACTTCAAAGGGCCAAACTGGTAGGAACCCACCTCTGGTACAGGTGGTCCTTGATTTATGACCATCCATTTAATGACCATTTGAAGTTATGATGGCACTGAAAAAAATGATTGACAGACAGTCTTTGCACTTACAACCTGCAGTTGTGTGATTGTGATCTGGGTGCTTGGAACTGGCTCATATTTACAATGGTTGCAGCATCCCAAGGACACATGATTGCCATTTGTGACCTTCTCAGCCAACTCCCAACAAGCAATCTGATTAATGACTGTGCAATTTGCTTAACAACTATGGCAAAAAGGTCATAAAACTGGGTGTGGTCCTATGCTGACTCATTTAGCAACTGTGCCACTTAAATGATGGAAGTTCTGGTCTTGATTATAGTTGCAAGTCAAGAAGCATCTGTATCTAATGGAGATGTGTTTCCACTTAATGAGATCCAAAATACTAGTCACATTATACTCAAATCTTCCAAAATATTGCAACTGCTCTTTTTTCCTGTGACTTCCTCATTGCTTTTCTCTGGATCTTCTGAATCCTTTTTAAACTATGGTGCCAAAACCGAATGTAACAGTGAAAGTGGGGGTTGACAAACATAAAGTAAATCTATCTCATCATTTTAAAAAAAACCTTTTCTTTTAATGCAATCTAAAGTTGCCTTCCCCCCCCCCCGCCACTTTGCATCACTGACCCTCACCTTCCTCCAGGTAAATATAAACAATTTCAGTAACTTAACACCTTTTGCACTATTTCAGGGGAAAAAACTTCCTTTCATATCTCAACCCATATTAATGCTCAAATTGTAAAAACTCATCATTTAGTCCTAGTCAACAAAAATCAATTAAGAGCTACCAGAATATACAGGTAGTCCTCAGAGACTGTTCTAAGTTATGACTGACCTCCCCCCCCCCCACCTCAAGGCACTTTCAACCTGATTTCTAAGTTAAAATGACCATATTCCCTCATCATTTGATCACATTTTAGGTACTTGGAAATTGCTCAACCTTATGGCTCAACCATTTTCTTTGGTTGTAAAATGTGGTTACAATAGACACTGAGTTCAGTTAAAATCCCTCATTCCCACATGACCCTTAGAAATACCTGGAAATTGCTTATGGAAAGCATCATCCATATCAGAAAACCTGGAGTGGACATTGCCATGAAGCAAAAAGACCTACCCGAATCTTGGCACAAGATTATGGGTACTTAAAGAAAAGCCCATCTGCTACAATAGATACTCACATTTATCTTGTTCATTGAAGGACAACGAATGTTCCCGCTAATTTGCTGGAGGTAACTTGGTGTGCTGCACAATACCTCAGGCTAAAATATCAAGGGGAATGAATGGCACTGTCAAGTTCTAATTGGTACGTACTGTATGTATATTGATTTATATACTGATATGAGACTTAAGAGCATCAACAATTGGTGCTCCTGGTTCTCAGATTCACCCCAAAGCCTTTAATAAGGTAACTAAACTCCATCATAGCAGAAAGGAAATACCTGGAACAACTGCACACACTGCTTCCTTGAGTCTCTGCTGAGAGAAAAAGAGAGCTAGTCAGAGATCCTTAGTACGAACTAAATAAAAATTCAGCATATTCCCCAATCTAATCCTGTGCATCGATTAACAATGGATACCTTATTCACATATTGGGATATGTTATGTTTGGTTTAACCATTCAATCGTTTATTGAATAAATCAACAATTGGCTTGGTTTGTACCATACGCTAAGTAAAAGTAACTTTGTGCTGTGCGCCAGTTATAGCCTTTCCTGGACCAGGATTGCCTGCACCCAACCCCTACTTATCTCACGGCCGGACTATTGTAATGCGCTCTGCATGGGAGTACCCTTGAAGAGCCTTTGGAAGCTACAGCTGGTGCTGAGTGCAGCAACATGGGTAATTTGCGGGGGGGGGGGGGGAATGGTCACTATAATACCACTGCTCTATGAGCTGCATTGGTTACCAGTCTGCTTCCAGGTGCAATTCAAGGTGTTGATCATCTTTAAAACTCTTTGTGGCATTGGTCCAGGATACGTGAGGGACATCTCACCCCCCACTGCGATTGGCCCATACTACTTGTTCTGGGAGAGGATGCATGCTACGGATCCCGTCAGCCCATTATTGTACCTGGCGGGGTACAGAAGGAGGGTCTTCTCTGCTGTTGCTCCTGTCCTCTGGAACACCACCACCCCCATTGGCTTCAACTCTTCTATCTTTTCCTAAGGGCCTAGAGACATGGCTTTGCTAGTTGGAATTCTTAGTGGAATTTTGAAGGTAAAATTAGAAATTTTGAGTATACAATTTTGGCCAGGCTTACAGGGTTAACTGTGGAAATGCAGAGTTTCCCATCCAGAGACTTCCTGCTCCCATTTGCCACTCATATTTCTTTACAGTATACAAACAAAAAATACCAAGTAAAAATCTTGCCATTTCGGTACTGGGGGTTGTAAACAAAGTTAAAAGAAAAATAGAAATAGATGTAAAGACTTTTCGGTAGGCGAAACATACCTACTTGGCCTATTTAATTTTTTTTTAAATGTCCCACAGGATAAACAGTTTTGCTCTCCCCATCTATCAATCATATTGCATGAGTTCTTACAGCTGTTTACAGCTGTCTAAAAAAAGTGACTTTCCCAACTTGAAAAAAGGATTCACGTTATTCAGCCCAGCCCCACAGGTAGTTCTTTAGCCATACCACTGAGAAAGGAGCAAATGGGCTCTTGCCCATGCGTCCATCATTAAGCATGATGCACAAACTTATTTAATGCATCCATCAGTGCTGAATTAGCCACGGCTGAGTTAAGTGTTACAAATGAATTTTGGAACGAACTCCCCGTGGAGATTCGAACCCTCACCACCCTCCAGGCCTTCCGCAAGGCCTTTAAAACCTGGCTGTTCCGACAGGCCTGGGGCTAAAGAGCTGTTGCCCCCGTCTCGAATGGTATGACTGTTGTATGTTTTTAAATTATGCATTGTTATGCTTTGTTTTTTTAAATTTCTTTTTGTCTGTATTCCCCTTCCCCGGTTGAGTTGTGAGCCGCCCTGAGTCCCCTTTGGGGGAAAAGGGCGGCATATAAATGAAATAAACTGAACTGAACTGAATTTTCAGTGTTGAGAGCAGATCAATTAAACCCAAATGAAAATAAAGCTAATATGGTAAACTATAAAATCAGTAGGTAGAACTTACAGCTGATCCTGGAATTCTGTTAAGTTATTTTTATCTGCAAGTCACAAAAGTGAGAAAAGAGAAGCCTGAAAACCTAGGAATAGTTATTCTATTAAGTAGTACTTACCGTACACTTAGGCTTAAGTAATCTAAATCAGAGTGAACTGATTAAGTCATCTTTCATATCTGAAAATTAGTTATCTTGGTTCAGCTAAAGAAGTCCAATCAATATGGAATATAGGTGTGCAAAATATATTCAGTTGTTTAAGATACTGCTAGAGTTTCCCAAACCATAAATATAAGCCTATCACATAGGAAACCACATAGCTCTATAAAACTGCAGGCAAGTAGCTTTACCACTTTTCGTAAGCCTGGAATACAGTGTGAAATTTACATAAATATTTGGCTTGGGTTTATTGCTAGGTTTGTTATGATCTATAAACATATCAATATAATACCTTGGGAGACAAATATATTAAGTAAAATAAATAATACAAATACTTGGATTTAAGTTTACTAAAATCAATTTAATACAGAATTTCTCATAGCCTAATAATTGCCTAAACTGATTAGAATATTACAGTTTATATAATACAGGAGTGTCAAACTAGTGGCTCACAGGCCAGATGTGTCACGCGCAGGCCACACCAACCACAGCTCTGCAAAGGGGAAAAACGTCACGTTATGTCATGTGATGGCAATGTGATGCCATGAGTTTGACACATGTGATATAATAAATGAAATTATTTGTCAACAAAACTTGCTTGTATAAGTACAGGTGGTCCTCAAGTTACCACAATTGAGCCCAAAATTTATGTTGCTAAGTGAGACATTTGTTAAGTGAATTTGCCCCATTGTACAACATTTCTTATCACAGTTGTTAAGTGAATCACTGCAATTGTTAGCAATGCGGTTGTTAATTGAATCTGGCTTCCCCATTGACTTTGTTTGTCAGAAGGTCGCAAAAGGGGATCACATGACTCTGGAATACTGCAACTGTCATAAATATGAATCACATCTTTATCTCATTACCATGGGAATGCTTGCAAGAGTTGTAAGTGTGAAAAATACTTTTTTTAGTTCCATTGTGACTTTGAACAGTCACTAAACGAACTGTTATAAGTTGAGGACAGCATGCATAGTGATCAACTGCTTACTAATAGCAAAACTCTAGAGTAGGCAGCAATTATTACCAATCTCCAGTGCTTCTGGGGGCTGGCTGAAGGTGAAAGCAATTTCCTCTTCTCCGCTGCTGAGATTGGACAGGTCTAAACAACGTCTTGGTGTATCCCTACAAATTGTGAACAGGCAGGTAGATACACATATCCGCACACGTTAGCAGTGCACCATTGAAATTCATAGAAATTAGTATTACACCATTGAAATAGAAACATCTCTTCTATTCAGATGAACACTCCTAAACAGTCTCATACATCAACTGAAATCAACTATTATATTTGAAAATATAATCCCATTTGGGACGATAACATCTAGATGCTACTTAAGATTGGATCAAAGCCAACTTAGTCAAGTGTCATTGAAGTCAATATAAAGAAGTCAGAAAATGGCTAAGTTTGTCTGTACACAGTACAATATGGGAGCTTATGGCTCCCATATCAGATGTAAAGAGACAGAACCCCAAAATTTAATTTTTAAAAATCTCCCTCTTCCCCTATAATTCAAAGCTGCAATTTATTACTTTTACTATTTACTGCTGGTCAAGCAGAGGATCCATGAAAAGTCACCCTCTCTCACCGTCTAAATGCTCTTGGGTTTGCTTAACAACCAAGATTATATACAGAATGAGTTACTGGTAGTTCATAAACCTCCTCCTTATCCAACTACCAAACTCAGTCTACACATTTTCAAAGTTGGCATGTTATCTAAACTACAAAGTAAATATAGTGACCCAATAGGCACAGTCTTTATACCTACTTATGTCTGGTGAGGACCTAGAGACCACTTATTCATGTTTCAGCTATGTTTAATTTTTCCTAAAAATTTCCTATATTGCTTAACCATAGATTTAGGAACTTTTATAAATGGACTGCCATAGTTCTTGGGCACACAGTATTCCCTAGTGTTTAAAATTACGATTGTTTAAAAAGAATTAAAATTTCAGATTAGCTTCCCAGCTAATTCTGTGCAATGCCTTTGGAAAAAGAGAAAATACTTCACCCCACGTTATTGTATCAAAGAAGTGGGGGGGAATTACCCTGCTAAAGTGCTAAGGTTTTGGAAATCCCAAGTGAGATTCAACACAGGAGTGAGAGGTGGTTCTGGAGTAAACAGCAGAGATATCTTGACATCCTGGATCATATTCAGTGCCATCCTGTAGTTAGACTGAAACCTAAAAGGAACAAATAATAATTTCTAAAAGAGGATAACTTTCAGGCAACATTACTGATCACCACTTAAAAGAGCAGTATCCTTTTTTTTACAAGCCTGTCTCTTTATTATAATAATCACAATTTAAGAGCTGGCAATCAGGTACTTAAAAACTGAAATATGCAGCAGCAAGCTGAGAGATTAGACTAGGACAGGGGTCAGCAACCTTAAACACTCAAAGAGCCATTTGGACCCATTTCCTACAGAAAAAAAAAATACCGGGAGCCACAAAACCCTTCTGGTGCTTGACTATTTCCTGAGTGGCCACAAAACTAGCATATGTAGTTGAATTAAACGTTGTTTTCTTCGGAAACTTTTTCTTGGATTTATCCATGGTTGGCCTACCAGGGGTCAAAAAGCTCAAGAAATTGCACACCAGCGGGTGTCGCACACTGGCGGTTGTGATACATATTTTGAGTGTCAGGGAGCAGCAGAGGGATGAAAGAGCTACATGTGGCTCCAGAGCCACAGATTGCTGCCCCTGGACTAGGAAGACAGCAAACAAGGAAGCTAGTAACAATCAGGCTAATTATATATATATAGCCAGTTTTATTTTTTTTTAATCTCGCCTACATTATTTTTTTATAATTGATGGCAGCAAACATACCGAATACCGCATCCGCCTATCTCCCCCCCGCCCAACATCAACTCTGCAAGATAATAAGTTGGGCTGAGAAAGAATGATTGGCTGCCTTTCTTAAAGGGAAAGGAGAGCTTTGAATTTTTCCAGACGGAATTTTGGATAACCAGTTTCGATGGCTGGCTCACAGGCTATAGAATACGCCGCCTTCCAAAACAAACTAAGGTTTGTTCCCTCGTTCGCAGGTGGCGGGGGGGAGAGGAAAAAAGATCAGCTGCGGACAACGCGAGGAAACCCTCCCTGATGGTTTGGATTCGGACTTCCTTCCATCAGCCCAGCCCAACCCAGCAGAGCCATGGCAAAGAACGGCAAAGGACCTCGGGAGGTTCAGCACCCCTTCTGGCCCCCTCCCTTCTTGTGAAACCCCTTCCTCCCTCTCAGCCTCCTCTCTCCCCCCCCCCAAAGAAAAAATAAGGCGAGCTGAAAATTCCACAGCACTTCAGAAATTAAAATTTATCGCCGCTGCGCCGGCCAATCCCGATCACCTCTTTCTCTCGACCGACCAACCCTCGAACGCTCGAGCGAGAAGAGCCTCCGTCTCGGCGTCAACAGCTTTTTCATTGGCAAACCGACGGCCTTGCGTCGACGGTGGCGCGCGCGGCTGATTGGACGGCGGGGTCTGATAGGCGGGGTTTTCATGCACGTGTGTTATTGTCCGCGCTGCGTTCTGGAGATAACGCCCATGTTTCTGACTCTTCGCCCAGCCAATCACCGGGCTGAAGGTCAGCCTCCTTTTTTTTCTTCCTACTCTGCGATAGGCCGGAGGTCTGCAAAAAGCCACGCCCTCCCTGCTTACTGGAGGGAGATTTAAACCTGCGTTTAATGCTGGCCATGAGGGTTTTCGGAAGGAGCTACTCCGGTCCGCGGGCCAATCATGCAACGTCCGAATTCTTTGTCTGACTTCTCGACTGCCGTAACTGGCCGGTAGTTGCCTTTAGATTTCGGGTGTTGGGTGGAGCTTCGTTTTAAACTTGGCTATCTTCTCCCGTTGTCTTACCTCTTTGAGTCGGTAAAGTGAGCGGGGTGGAGGTTGCTGAGACGGGGTGCAATATCTGGCTTCCTAATTGGCAGTGGTGTATTAACCATTAAGCAGACTAAGCACGTGCTAAGGGCACCAGGCCCAAAGAGGGCACCAAAATGCTGAGAAAGAAAAAAAAAAAAACCAATGAAGATTTGTACAGTATGTACAGAGGGGCGGGGGTGGGTGGGTGTCAAGATTTGTCAGTGCTTAGGGCCCCAGAGAGCCTTAATCTGCCACTGCTAATTGGGGAACTTTACAGGTAGTCCTCAACATACGACCACAGTTGAGCCCAAATGTTAGGTTGTAAAGCGAGTTTTGCCCCATTTTATGACTTTTCTTGCCACATTTGTTAAGGGGATCTCAGCAGTTCTTAAATTAGTCATATGGTTGTTGAGTGAATCTGGTTTCCCCCCATTGACTTTGCTTGTCAGAAGGTTGCCAAAGGGTATGGTATGACTCTGGGACCCCGCAACCGTCATAAATGTGAGTCAGTTGTCAAGCATCCAAATATAAATCACGTGACCATGAAGATGCTGCAATGGTCATAAGTATGAAAAATGGTCATGTCATTTTTTTCAGTGCCATTGTAGCTTTGGAAGGTCACTAAATGAACTGTAGTAAGTGGAGGATTCACTGTATGTATACTGTTTCAGTAGACTGTTTGAGTTGCATTAGGTGATTGAGAACACTTACTCAACAGAGTTTGCCTATCTTTTTCTTTTCTCCTGTAACTTGCAATCTACTTGGATCAAGTGAATGGCTAGAGTGGGTAAAATTTTTTGAAGATTAAGTTTAGTCTTATATTGCAATGATGTTTTTCCTTATTTGTGGAAACTTGCCTGGGCTGTCTACTGGAGGAATCGCTGCATTTCAGCAAAGAACAACTTACTGTGTTTGAAAGGAACTTAATAAGAAAAACCCGGAAGAGAAGTTGCATTATTAACATAATAGGAGTCTAAAGTTAGAATATTTCTTTGAAGTCTCAAGAAAAGCTCAAATCCTTTGGCTCTGTGTAAAACATAGTTTAAGCAGGCAAACAATTAGGAATGACTTATTCTAGGTGTGAGTGGACAACTAATGTTTCTGCTGAATGTTATGATTTCAGTCTTTGATTTCTCAGAAGTGTTTGGAAGTTTCTGAAGTTGGATATTGTGTTGAGCACAATGTTTCAAAGTCAGTTACTATCAACATAAATCTCAAAGGCTCTGGTTTGTCAAATTGGGGGAAATTGCACAGATGCTTGCTAAAGCATCTATGAATTAGTCATGTTTTTGAACTTTCTTACTGTTTACATTGTAAAGTCAATAAAAAAGTTAAAAGATTTGCTAAAATATTATTGGCTAAAATAACTGAGCATTAAACTGGTTTCTGTTTGATGCCTAAAAGATGCTGCAACCAGGTGAGACACATGTGGGAAAGTTGGCAACCATGTCCTGGAATGAGGCTATGTCACATAATAAGAATAACAAAGTGAATAGTTTCAAGTCATGAAAATAGTTCAAGTCTTTCCTAAGTTTAATAATGCATTTTACCTTTGAGAATACATTTTACCAGATGGAGGAAATGTGCAAATCACTTCGGATTCTCTCAAAGAAGGACACGACAAAGATAAAATATTCCCCATTCTATGTATAGTACTACTATAAAAGGAAAACAATCGGTTAGAGACGAAGTGGGGGAAATCTTCCTTTTATTTAGATACCTGGAGTCAAGATTAATTCAAAAGACCATATCAGTAACAATCAGTGATTCCATCAGCGCCCTGACATTTTTAAAAATCTCAACTCTTTAAAAATGTAACTTCATTCAAATGTGGTAATAAAAGTTAATATGGCCCATTATTTTTGTGAAGAATTTTTATGAAAACAGTGCATTAATGCTTAAAGAAATTAGGAGATTCCCTTGGAAATGGGTGGTTGTTTAATTTTCAATTTAAAATATATGTTAGAGAAAAAACAATGCCTTTGAGAGAAAGATCTGGTGGCTGTACTCTGTTGTTCAACTTTTTTCTGACAGACAGATCTTATTCAAGGTTCTCTCTCAGGCGGCTGGCACAGGTATTTTACTGCAGAGTTTCTGCAATATTTGAGTATCTCTGGAATAAGTGATATGAGCTTCTCCTCAGAAGTTCTCTGTGAAGCCTTTAAGAGGTCTTTTTCCAACTGGTAAGAGCTATCCCAATTTTCAGGTTCTCTCCCCTAGTATTCCCAGTTTTTAAATTCAGCAGAATATCTGTGCAGTCTGGATTTTACAAACAGCTTTTCCCCATATAGCTCCCCATCTTAGCAACATGGATGGCAGGACTGGAGCAGGGATATGGAGATAATTGTTACTGTATTCCAGAACATGTAATTATTTTGAGGTCAAAGATCTGTTTGCATGATGGACATTGCATTCTTCTGCGGATCAATTGGAGGAAGCAGAGACTGATTCATAATAATCTTTGTACATTTTGTTTTTGTGGTGGCAGTAGTGACAATAATTGTTTTGTATTTATCAGAGAGTGGAAATGGAAACGGTGTGGAAAGCTTTTTATTTAAATTACAATCTAATAGATTCTTGCCTAAATAGAAGATGTGGTTTAAAATGAATTGCAGATTTTCATCCAGTAGATGAGCCTCTATATTAATAATATATTTAATTCTCTAATCAGAGTTGCCACATGCAGCAGTAACATTTTTGAGTGACAAACATTGCAGATCATGATACTTTAATATTTAGCCATTTTTACACAAAATTATTTGTGTTGAGTGCTTTTATGCCACTTCAACTTTGCTTTTTTTAAGTCTATGAGAAGTCTGTAGGTGGAATATTCATTTAGGTCTCCCCCCCCCCCGCATTCATTCATTGTATTGAACATAATGTTTTTCTACTACATTTTTACAGTAGTAGCCCAGTAAAGATCACTGGATTATGTTGTTAACTAGATTTACTGTGTTAAATAAAAATCCTAAGTCCACTTGAGAATTCCAAGTGTGTGAAGTATAGACAAGTATAGGCATGGGATAACAAAACATATAATACAGGTAGTCCTTTACTTACGACCATAATTGAACTCAAAATTTCCATTGCTAAGCAAGACAGTTTTTAGATGAGTTTTGTCCCATGTGAATCTGGATTCCCCACGGACTTTGCTTGTCAGAAGTTCGCAAAAGGGATTCACATGACACTGGGACACTGCAACCGTCATAACTATATGCCTGTTGCCAAGCATCTGAATTTTGATCACATAACCATAGGGATGCTGCACAGTCGTATGAAAAAGTTCATAATTCACTTTTTCACTGCTGTTGTAAGTTTGAAGATCACTAAATGAACTGTTGTAAGTTGAGAACTATCTATATATTAGAATCTGTTCTTGAGAAAGCCAAGACTTTGTAGAACCTGCTTTCTTCTTTCCTTCCTCAAGCAGGTGTGTGGCTGCAGACATCTTTCTTGAATCCTCTAAGCTTTCTTTTCTAAGGATTACTTTATAAAATATATATTTTAATGAAAATGATCTAGAGACTGATATGCAGCAAAGAAGTCCCTGAATCTAACATTAGAATGCCTCTAGGCTTGATAGATAGTCATAGAGGCTAAAAAGATAAATGCAGCCCAGTGCATTATTTAGGATTGCATCCATGTCTCCCAGAAGAAGGTAAAGATAAGTTGGGGACGGAGCTGAACAGCAGGTGGAGAACAACCTCATAAATTTGCCCTTTAGTAAATGTATTATTTTTTACTGACCATAAACCTTCTGGATGCCATTTAATGATGGTTATCAATACTGTATGCTCAGAATTCCTACTAGTGTCTTAGAAGTAAATGAGCAGATTTTAAATGATCTGAAATTAGAAAATATTTAATTCCAATGGTCAGTTCTGTTGATGTTTTTTTAAAAAGGTTTGTTGCTTCAGTTCTTTTTCCAGAGAAAAAGATTACATATTGGGAGAGCTCTTGCCATGAACTTCTTCTTTATCTCTAATGTATAGAAATCATTTAGTTATATTTTTCCAAATTCTGTGGGTCTCACTTGATTTCTTTTACTTTCTTTTATATCTGACGAATAATGACTTCACAAATGGAAAGTTAAGATATAAATGCATTGTGTCTCCATGTTCAGTAATCAAACTTTTTAATTTTCTTCAAATAGGTCGTCATTTCAGGTTTTCTTACCTGAAGTAAAGATGGTGAGTGTGGGAGTAGGTACAAGGTCTGATTGGGTGAGAAAACCCTGTCCTGGATCTGAGTAAGTTTCATAACAGATATTTCTATCGTTTATTAAGTTATTGACATGATTCTCTGTCTAGCATTTTTCTTTCCATTTGTAGAACTTATATAGAGACAGATGAGGCGGTCTTGCGAAGAAGGCAAAAGCAGATAGATTATGGGAAAAATACCATTGGTTACCAGCACTTTGTCCAACAGGTTCCCAGGTAAGCAGTAACTGTTATTTCTCGGTTTTTATTAGACTTCTACATAACAAAAGCTTGGGTGGGCTCCTACTGTGATCATCACTAGCAGTTCTTCTCAAAGTTCTGATATTTGGGCTGTTCATTTTAGAATCTGGTCTGGAGGTAAAGACCCTTGAAAGACTCACTTTAATAGTTCTCTCTGTGCTCTTTCTATGGGAGACCTTGAGGTGCCTTTTAATTTCTCACGCTTCATTCCAGGATGGCTCGCCAGTCAGGTATTCATCCCTGTACTCCAAATAAATATAAAAAGTACAGTCGTCGCTCGTGGGACATGCAGATTAAGCTTTGGCGAAGGGCACTTCATGGTTGGGATCCACCTGGACATGAGAGGAAAGTATTTCTAATAATAAAAATGCTGCCCAACTCTCAACAAATCTGAGTGACCCACAATAATCAAATAAACAACAAAAACAAAAATGACAATAAAAGCAATTAAACCTAAAAGATGGCAAATGCAATGAAGCAAGCCCATCATTTGGCAGGTTTACTTTTAATTACAATTCTGTATTGTAAATAGCCACCTTTATTATGCAATATTTACTGCCAGCAGCCTGGTGACCCACTTATAAAGTAATGCTCCCACACTATTCAGGAATTGCAGGCCTAGTCTCCAGTCCATATGCACTCTCCTTGGTATTCCTTATCACCATGGAGACAGAGTTAATTGTCAACAGAGTTGTCATGCTCTTCAGTGAGAGCAAATGGCTCTGGTGCCCATCAGAGGCTGGGAGTATTTTGCATTATGTTAAAGTGGAAAATGAGAAGGATCACATATATGAGAAAAGAAGGAAGAAGTGAGTAAAACACCATTTTATATTTTCATTCCATTAATTTCCATGGGTTGCCTAACATTCTGTGGCAGAAGATAGAAGCATTTAGGCTGACATATTCAACTAATCCTATTCCATTTTTCCAATGGGTTTTTATTTACATTATAAGATAGGATTATGAAACATTTTGTGGGTTGAAGATTGAATTTCCTAAAAATGTTTTGAAGGGTCACATGGCAGTTGGCAAGTCCAAGTCCAAAGTGACCGGGTCACCCACTTTTCTCTCTGGGCTCTAAATGAGTTGTCAGCAAAAATCTAGAGTTCTTTCTGGAGGTCTAAACCGACTAGTTAAGATAGACAACTGCAGATTGCTTTTTCCCAGTTTAGGCTCTAAAGCTATTCAATGCATTTGCTGTCTGGCTTAGTATGAACAACCTGCTGTGTTTCGCAAGGCAGGAGCTGGTGACCAAAATGGATCTTTTGTCTAATCTCCCAAACGACTGGTTTGATGCTCAGTGTATTCAGGAAAATATCTGTGAAGAAGTCCTAGGAGAAAAGGTATTGGGATTTTGTTTAATTATATTCTATATGGCCTTATTTTGGAATAGTTAAATAACAAAAGGATTTGACAATGTGGAAACAAAATCATAACCTGCATTTAATGCTAAGCAGAGTTGAGCATTCTCTATCTTTATGTGACATAAGATTCTAAGTATGGGCTTAGTGTTATGGACATACACAAAACGTTCCTTTTTTAAAATGACATCTTCAGGCCAGTCACTAACTTAGACTACTTATTTCATATTATTGTTCTGCTCCTATAGATTTTTGGATTGTCATCTTCTGGCCATTTATATCCGCAGCTTCAGGATACACTCTCCAACACAGAACATTTCAAGGAAGATTCTGAAGACTGTCCACTTGACTCCTGGCTCTTGTTTTGTTCTCATGGGATCCCAACACAGTCAGTGATCTAAAAGAAAACAGAGCTAATTTCAAGGATTATTATTTTTTTGCCACCGTGGTCCACCTGTATTGTCACTCAATTTGCTACAAAATCCATTATTTTATAACAAGATGATCTTCCATTTCCATATTTGATAGTTTTCTATATAGAGTAATCGTTATTTAGCTAGAATACAAAGCATTTCCTATTGATTCTCCATTATGCATATCTTATTATAACTATACAAAGCAATTGATGATTGCTACTAAACTGAAGCATTGTGGCTTGTTGGTTGCAGTAAGAAAATTGAGACTCTAAAGTTCTGAACTATGTACAGGTAATTAAATTGTTCTGAGCTCATATTCTGTCACTTGGTTTGTTATTGGTTAATTCCTGTCTGTTTCACACATGCCCTGTGGTTGGATAAAATAACATGTTTTGTATTTGATTCTTAATTGACATCCTTTATTTGCTTGAATATGAATGTTACTCTTGTATGGTGAGTTATAGCAAGAAGTGGGCTCATTATAAGAGTTAAGGGGTACAATTTACATCTTTTCTTTTGGGTAAAAATGTTTTATTCCATTTCTTTTAAATTTGAATAAGTGTGCCTTATGTAGGAATATTCAGACAGCTTTCTTCTAGAAACTGTAGTGGACAGCAACAAGCATCAGAATCATTGGAATATCTTTGTCTGAGTTTATAGTATTGAATTCCATTTGGTTATTTAAAATGGCTTTAAGGGAAAAAATAGGAACCTGGTCTTACACCATGACTGGTTCACACAATGTACTGAGCAGAATCGCTTATTTTTTAATGAACTACAGTGACCTGGTATATGCAAGTTAAAGCATAATAAGTGGGTTCACATAACTCTAACCAAAATCACATTATTACAGTAGCAGTGAATACAGCCACTTTGTCAATCTTTAGACATGATGACAGTATTAAGTTGTAATTCTAGAACTATATTCATATGATACATAGAACTAGAAATTAGCTCACCACATTTTAGCTTTATAGATCTGCAAACTCAGCCCATGTGTTTAGAAGGTGGGTAGTAGAACCCATTGATTGGGATATGTTAACCATAAGTAAGCATCTGCTAATACAAGTTATGTACTCTTCTGAAAGTAAATATTTCCTTTACTGAAACTTAAATGTTGGAGTACACTCTAATTATTCATTACACTCCTATAATCTGTCATACTTTGTTCCAATCAGGGTAATAGCTGTTTATTTATGCTTTTTATAAGTAGATCTGGAGATACTTTTTTTCTTAATGGAAGGGTCAGCGTTCAAGAATAATAGTCTCAGCTGGCTGTTGTGCAATTTCAGATAGGAATTAGGCAGATGTCTGGTAGAAAACAAAGTACTCTTCACATGCTCGTGAGTGCTATATTTTAGATATAATTTTACCATAAAACATGAATTCGGAAAGGTTATGCATTTAATAAAGCTGAGCAATCTCAGAATTTCAACCATGCCTGTGGCTCGCAAGAAATCCGAAGAACGAATTGCACCCCCGTCATCCAAAGGTTGTCCATCCTAGTAAAAAAAACAAAACCCACCACACTGTGTACTACGTATCCCGTCATACTTTGCTACGTGGTACGGTCCATGGGAGGGGGGGGTACTTGTGGGCTCGAGAGCGTGCCTCGTAAAAGATGAAATCTTTTCGTAGCCGGAGGGAGGCGTGTGTTAGCTCCAGACGGATGCGCGAGTCTTGTTTCTGAAACTGCCTTCTCGATTGCCCCTGATACATTTGACACCCCCCCCCACTGTTGTGTGGTTGGTTCGGCCCAAGCAGGTCGATCCACTCCCGACCGAAAGGGGAGCGGAGGCTCCTGGCGGGGGGCTGGGAGCCCGGGCCGCCGGGTGGGGGCGGCAGCTGGAAGACGGAGAGGGCCGGCCGGCAGCGGGTGCCAGTCCTTGAGAGTCGAGGAGGCAATCTCCCTTCAGTCAGATGGTTGGTTCCAGCGGTGTTTAGAATAGGGAGTGGGGGGGGGTGCGTGAGACTATTGGGGCGCACTACTTCTCTGGCTGAGCCGCCGCGAGGTGTTGGAGCTGCCCCCCCCCTCCAACAGGCGTGGGGCGGGGGGAGGGATCGGGTGTTCGGTACGTGCCGAAGGGGCTGCAGAGCTTGAGTGGGTAACATGGGGAGGGGGGGCACTGGGCGTGATGGGGGTAAAGCAGCAGGATAAGGTGGGATGGTCTTTGTGAGAGATGGGGGCTTGTGGACATGTCATTAAAAAAAGGGGAAGTCGGGGTGGTTTTGTTTTTATGCGGGAAGTGGGGGGGGGTTGATGGAGAGAGAGAGAGAAGCAAGGTGGGGATTTCGGGCAAGGAGGTGGCTGTTGTCGTTAAGTGGGTGAATCTGTATGGGAATTTGGGGGTGGAATGGAGGGCCTCGGTGGAGAAGTGGGGAGGAGGTGATTGGCTCCTCCAGAAGAGGGTGGAACAGGGCCTGCTTTGTTAAGAGACTGCGTCCCCTGTGGATGCATTTCTAAAACTAGGTTGATGGGACCCATTCTTAAAAGCAGTCGAATCACACACACTGCTTCTGATACAGCCTTGGCGTGGAGTCTTACTAGTGTGTGCCTTGTAGCAGGGGGAACCCAGAGGTTGCTTAAGGCCTACCTCTTGATTTGTGCTTACTAAGTAGGTAATTATGTAATTGAAGGAACTGAATGAAATCAAATTACAGGGGCAGGGATGAGAAACCAACTGCAAAAGAAAACCAACTGCACTTTTAAGAGGTTGGCGTGCTCGGCTTTAATGTTAAAAGGCATCAAGTAAAATGGCTTCATTTATCTGGAGCCTTTAAAGGCCCATGACCTGAAGCTATTAAAATAAGGAGGAGTACAGGAAGATGCAGTGTATAATTGCAGAACAGGAAATGAAGCAAAAGAATAATTTTGGCTAACAGTCGTGAAGAATAATCAGGAGGTGTTTTCCAGATAATACAAGATTGAAATTCTACTTATTCTTCCACACTTCTTTTACATCATTTACTTGAGGTCTGTGGAAGATTATAGTACATGTTTTAGCTGGTTCTCACAATAGTCCTAATAGTTAACTGGAAAGATACTGACTTATTCAAGGCCACCCAGTAGGCTCCCTGACTGTGCAGAGGTCTGAACTTCTTTCAGATGCAAATCTAGTATATTCTGTTAACTGCTAAATGAATCAGGATTACAATTCTTGATTAAATTTAAAATACAGCTAATATAAATCGTCTAGGTTGGCATCTAAGACACATTTAGCCCAGAAAAAGTTGAGGAAATTTAATAAACCCCTATGTATGATAAATGTAATGTTGATTTTAATAGCTATTTCTGTTAAGTAAAATGGAAAATGTAGAAATGTAGAGGAACATAAATTAATTTGCTCCAAAATAAGCCTGGTTTTGCATAACTTGCCAGGGTAAAATAAAGTGTGTGACACACTCTGCATTGTGCAAACCCAGCCAGTACTGTATATTTAATTTATTGGTTAGCGTGCACTATGTACCCAGACAGCTGGGTTAATTATGGGCTTGCATGTTGTGTGAACAAAGCCTCAATTTACAATTGCAGTTAATTTGTAATAGTAACTGAACTGTTGTAGGTATCTCTTTAAAATGTAGGATAAAAAGGTTTTTTTAGATAGCCCTCTTAATTCTTAATGAGTCTAACATTTTTAAATATGCATTTTTATTGTTTCTACTTATTTAGCATCATTAGTATATTCCACCTCCATGAATTTCAAAAGCAAATATAAACAAGGGGGGTAGGTGTCCAACCTAAAAGATCTTAACATTTAAAGCAAGCAATGAAGAAGAGAATAAAACCGGGCGGTAAGAAGAGGAAGATGGAGAGACTGAATGTGAGCAAATCTACTTAAATTAGTACTAGATTTCTAATAAAAGCCGTTTCTCCTTTGTACAGTATTTTTTGTCTTTAGAATTCTATATTTTCTCTATCATTGAGATATGCAGTCATTATTTACTTTTAAATGATAAGACTACTAAATCTACGGATCCCCTTCCCCCATTATAGCAAAAAGTTTTTTTGTATCACTTTTATTATTAATAGTTGAGCAGAAAGGATATTATGGAAATTAAAAGATACTAAAAATAATTAAGAAATGAAACAAAAAAATAATGAAAGCATGGTTTCAGAAAAAAATAATTACATCTTTCCTGTTTTTTCTAATTTCTTTAAGTAGATGTTAGGCTGCCAACTATTTTAATCTGAAATATAGTCACTTGTGATTAAATGATGAGTGAGTTATACTAATTCTTGAATAGTTATAGTTGACTGAGTTTAAAAAATTAACTCATAAACTTACTTTTTTTACTTCAAATGCAGTGTAAACCTAGCCATTATGATTTGTGAATTATAATTTATAGCTAGGTACAAATAGCTGATTGTGGTTTAATCAACATATTATTCTTAAAGATGTTAGGACAGCATGATTTGTGAGCTAGATACTATTCTTCCTCAAAAGTAAGCTTTATTAAAATCAGCAAGTATGCTGATATGTATTGGATTGTACTACAAAGACTAGATTGGTTGCAATGAAAACCTGTTGCTATGTACTTAGACATAAGACACATTTAACCAGTGTTATTTATAGGTAAAATGTGCAGAGGATTTGAACTTTGCTAAATTCAAAGTATTGTTTAAACATTAATCTGCTTTTCCTAAGAATGAATGAAACAAATAATTTTTTCTTTGCTACAGTTTAAAAATTGTTTTCTCACTTTAAAAAAATACATAACAAAGTTTATGTTGATAAATAGAACTGTTAATTTTCATTAACATGTACAAAACAAAATTGTAAATTAACAAATGAATGTATATATATATATATATATATATATATATATAAAGTAGGTTGAAAATTGAAGTAAATAATTTAGTAAAATACGAGAGATTAGTTGTACAAATGAAGAAAGGAATCTCATACTGGGGTAAAGGTGGCAATATTAAATAGTTGACGGTAATTTATAATCCAATTTATTGAATGCTGAGCAATGCTGATAAGAAACAGTAACATGGACTATGGGATTGTTCATGTTTTTGCATACTGTAATTAGTTTGGTTTCCTTATCATGAAGCATTGTATGTTTTGCCGTAATATATTTAAGAAGGTTTTTATTTATTTATTGGATTATGTGGCTACCATATAAAGTAATTCTGGACAGCTAACTATATTTATGGGAAATATGTTGGGGGCAGGTTTGAGATCTTAAGGGTGGAATGTTAAGAGCAAGGGCAAATTACCACTGTGATTGCAGAGGAAAGTATGCTTTCAGCAGGATGTTTTAGCAATAGCAATAGCAGTTACAGTGCTTTACAGCCCTCTCAAAGCGGTTTACACAGTCAACATGTTGCCCCCAACAATCTGGGTCCTCATTTTACCAATCTTGAAAGGATGGAAGGGTGAATCAACCTTGACCTTGGTGAGACTGGAACTGCTGGCAGCTAGCAGAAGTAGCCTTCAGTACTGCATTCTAACCACTGCAGCACCACAGCTCCTTTTAGGAGGAGATGGGATTGGCCTTTAGGTGCCAATCTATTTTTCAACTCACCTATGGATATGGGAGAACAGATTACTTAACAACCTGGTCTAAGGCCACAGTTCGTGAATACCAGAAGCCAATATAATAAAACCACATTTCACATTAAGAGGTAGATAAATGTTTAGATTTGGCATGATAATGATTCCAATTGGGCAATGAAGGGTATGTAATTCTGTCTAAGATTTGTCTTCACTTTGAATGCTTCTGTAACTATGGCTCCAAGGCTCAGGGGGTTGATGGTGGTGATGATCTTACAGGAGATCCTGGTTGTCGCCAAATGTCCTGCCCCACAAATGATATTCTTGGAAGTTGAGTTATGGGATAAATTAGGTATACTGCTGGCATCCTGTCCTCCTCCTAAAGTTAAAAGACTGGTATTAGATTCTTCCCCACTGGAGGTAGCTGGTGGACTCCAGTTTGCATGCCCTGGACATGTGATCTGGATGGGATCAAGAATTAATAGCTTCTGTTGCAACCATAGGCTTGTCACTTTTTTTGGCCTGACTCATGTGGAAGAAATGTTTACCTCAGGATAGGTGAAGTATGAGCTAGAGCAAGATTGTAAAACTCCAGCCGCTGGGCCGGATGCGTCACATGCTGGCCACGCCCACACCCATTTTAGCGAAGGGAAAAAAAGTCCCGATATGTCACTTGATACTGCTGTGGCGACATGAGTTTGACACCCCTGAACTAGAAGATATTGTGATCAGTCCTTCACCTTGGTCAGATTCCTGTGGTTGGAGACTTGAGAGTCTATCCCTGAAGGAACAAATCTTGGGGTTCTCCTGGACGCATGGTCCCTGGTTGATTAGCAAGTAGAAATTGTCTTTTGGTCACCCACAGCTGCTATTCCAGTTGCAGCCTTTTTTGGAGCACAAAAATTGGTTACAGTAACTCCTGCCCTTAGAACTTGAAGGCTAGTTTATTGCTTTTGAATACTACTTGGAAGCTACTCACTTGCTGATCTGCTCACTTGCTAACAAATCAGAGCTGTTTTAGCATGGGATATTTATTTTGCAAGCTTGCTTTGATTGCCACTAGGTTTCTGGGTACAGTTCAATATTTTGGTATTAAACTATAAAGTCCCATGGATTTTGGCCCCTGTATCTTAAGGAATGTCTCCTCCAAACAGAATCTGCTTTTACAGTATCTTTAAGCTGAGAAAGGATGCTTTGGATCCTTTCTTCATTAGGAGTGAGGGGGTGGGAGCCTGGAGACAGGTCTTCTTATTGTCTGCCCGATTACAATTAGTTTGTCCCCAGAAGCCCTGACCACCCCCGCAATATCTATTTTAAGGAAGATGGTAAAGAGAATTTTATTTCAGTGAGCATTTGAGGAGGAGCTAATGATCATTTGACTGCCTTATTTCTAATAGCTGGTTTTTACTATTTTTATTTTTAATTTCCATTCAATGTTCACTACTTTTAACTAGAACTGTTAGAATATTTTGAATTTTATGGAGTTAACAGTTGTTTTAATTATTTTTATTAACTGTACCTAGTTCATTGGGGTGAGGTATCAATACTGAAATAAGAAAAGATAATCTAGTGTCTTAGATTTGTACATTTTGTGTACAAATGTGTACATTGTGGTACAATGCCACAAAATGAGGCATTGGAACTTTGGAGGTGAGTCTGTTGAAACATTTAAAAAAAATAGAATGAAATTAAAAAAAGAAATGATGGGTGATTTTAGGCAGACAGGCCATTCAAATTCCCAGATAGCAAGAAACTCATTGATGACTGTGCCAATCACTTCTATCTATAGTAATTGAATATTTACCGGGACCATGTGGTATGTATCCTGGGTGCTGGAGGGGGTAGAAATGAGTGAAAAACTGGTCAATTTTTGCTCTCAATTTCTCCCCACCCCCAGCCCCCAGGAGCACTCTACTAGCCTCCTAAAGGCTATTCATACCCTTTTTAAAAAAAAATGGGCCTGTTTTTTGTGAAAAAAATGGGGCATTTTTGGGAGGTTTGCAGAGTGCAAAAACTTTTTTTAAAATTTGCCTCTTCAAAATCTTGGTGCATTTTATACTCAGGTATATCTTATACTCCAAAAATATGGTATTTAAGACTTTTATTTTGAGTGATAAATTATGGTACTGTAAGTTTTCAGAAACCACAGTCAAAAGATTTTGTGTTTCTGCAAAAAGGTAGCCTCATTCTTCACTGAAACTACAACATGTTGAGTCCTGCTTAAGAGGACAAGAGACTCGTGGATGCTTCTGGTTGACTGGTAGTTTATGCCCTGGGACTTCTTTGGACAGGATACACATATACGGAACACCCACCCACCCACCCAAAACTTGATTTTTTTAGTAAAAGAAAGAAATCATACTGTTTTGCCAATCTGATTTGCTTGTCAGACTTTGCTTTCTCCCTGCCTGTTGCAGTTAGGGATTATACAAGGAAGAAAATAATGTGCACATTTAGGTTTTAAGGAACAGATCAGACTTGAACAAGTAGGATGCATTAATATGTCTGTTTCCTGCAGGGGTCAGGAGAATGGCATGGAATTTGGCTAGATTGTGAATGAGCATATATGGTAACTGATGATGATTAAACGCAGCTGGACTTGCTGAGGAAGGCAGAAGGCTGGCAAGTGCTGGAGTCTCAAGAAAATGCCAGGCCTTCCTAAGAAGCCATGATCACACTGATAACTGAGCAGCTACAAAAGCAGAGCTTGGAGAAATTGAAATGCATATCATTCAGCATCAACCTGGTATGATTTCTTCTCTTTATAATATATATATATATATTATATTGCTAATATATTAACAATGTTGTACTAACATCAATGTACCACAGATGCCAGGATCAGGAGATTTTGAACTCTTCATCTTGAACAGCTTCCTGCCCATGTTATGGGGTAAATTGTTTTAAAACTGAGGAGAAGTTAACAAACCGCTGTAGGGTATAAGTTTGCAGTTCAAATAGAAATATTTTTTATCAGTCTAGTGCAAGCCTATCGTATGAGCTAAAAAAAGTTCTGTTCTTTTATGTTTATTATATGCAGCATTATCTCACTGTTGAAGCAACTCTGGGCAGCTTATTTATGTTAAATAACAGTTAATCCTTCTTTAATGACTGTCGTTTAGTGTCTGTTTGCAGTTATAGTGGTAAATGAAAAAGTAACTTTATGACCAATTTTCCCATTTCTGACCTTCACAGGTCTGGAAAACAAAGAAGAGCTAGAGTAATATCATAAGCATAGTCATGGTTTCATTTAGCAATGTTTAACACACATGTTTTATTACTGTATTTTCCTTTTACCTATTTTACCCTAGGCTTATATCCTGTATTTTATTTTTGTTTTATATTTTTGATGTGGTCATAAGACTAAACCAAGTTTCCATCTCAGCTGTGGTCGCTAAATGAAGATTTCCTGTAAGAAACCAGTACCGATAGTATGCTAGATTCTGTAGAGACAGAATGGTGTTTATTATGCAATTTACATCTTCTCTGGAAGCGCTACTTTAGTTTTGTTTGTCAGATAATCTGTGCTCCACTTCTGCACCTTGAAAAAACTAAAATAACTTCAGAAACTGCCAGTGGCTTTGCAGTAGATTTGTGATATTTTTAAAGAGACCATTATTTAGAGAGAGCTGGTATCAGTGTCTGTGAAATTTTTCATACTTACTTTATCCAACACCTCATCTGAATAATCAGGAGATGCAGAACATTTTTAAAAGCAAATAGGTGAAAAGATGGGTGAGAACCTGTAACCTGTATGCCTAAGTGGTTTTTTAAAATACACATAAAGCTGAGATGGGCAACAGGTAGCTCAAAAAAAGAGCAATTAGCAACCTGTCATTCAACAACAAGGTATTTTCTTGCTGAAAGAATAAAATTGAGTAGACCTGAAGCAGTTTTTGATCTCCTAGACACTTACTTAGGCTAGTTTACTTTTGAGATTATGGAACAACTAGTTTTTAATATTAAAAAATCAATAGAAACATCATTAGGCTCTTCCCTGATCTACCCACCCCATGTATTTGTATATTTATCAAACTACTAGTGTCAATTGGGATTAAATTTCATAGTGGTGGATACTAGATTCCCTTCCTCTAGAAAAATATCATTGATAGCCTGATTAAGAACAGAAAGGCTATTTTATGTATAGATGTGATTAATGTATGGAATTTAATTCTGCATGATTATACCTAGTGCATAAATTATGGGCTATAGGTAGCTGTAGTCACAACTGATGGAAGAATTTTGCTAATATATTCTACTTACATTTGTTTGCCTTCTGGCTGGTCACTGCTAAAATAAGTTCTGAACCACATGCTTCTCTGCCTTGATTTAGCATAACAATTATATTGCATTTGTGGGGAAAGCAGTCTGAATTTTATTAAAGAATAGTAAGGATACGAGATATTCTGTGAACTGGTAACAGAGTTCTTGAAATTATGGAGTTTGCAGAAAGAAAATTTCAGATAAGTATAAATTTGTTTACTTGGATCACATAATAAGCCTGTGGTAAGTATTAGGAGTTTAGTTTGTTGCAGCAGCTTGTATTATCATATTGTCTTCTCACAAAATTAAGATGACATGATGGAATAAATTAGAAAAATTAGAAGAACTTGTGTTTATTTCAGGCCTTTCTCACCACCTGGTTTTGTTTGCTGTTACCACTGTTGCCATCACCTTCTAATGGTGCTACTTGCCTGTTCCCATCTTACAATATTCTGCAACTTGAGGGAATAAATACCAAGTGTGTTGTTTCCATAGGATGACCGTTAAGCAAATATTTTGTTATAATAACTGCACATCAGTGGTGGGTTCCTACCAGTTTGGAGTGGTTCGGCCAAATCAGTAGTAGTTTGGCGGCCTGGGTCACTGGAACCGGCAGCGATCTAGGCCTGCCATACCCCCGAACCAGTTCTATCGGTGGCGCCATAGGCGCTGCCATCTTGTTTTTTGCTTCTAAGTATGCACAGAGAAATTTTAGTTGTACTGTGCAAGCGCGCATGTGTGGTGCGTCCCTGAGTGAACCAGCAGTAGTCTCTGCCATAACCGACCCCTGCTGCACATGTACATTGACAAGAATTGGTGTCAGAACCATTCCATGCTAAATGACAGAGGCTTTTAAATGCAGCCTTTATGGCAGAAGTATAGAAACTCAGTTTATATGAAATTGCTTGTTTTCTAAGGGTTGTTTTTTCATAAACTTTATATGATCACTGATCTTAAACAAATAACTCTTTGGTCACCACGATGTAGAAAAGATGTGGAGACTCTAGAAAGAGTGCAGAGAAGAGCAACAAAGATAATTAGGGGACTGGAGACTAAAACATATGAAGAACGGTTGCAGGAACTGGGTATGTCTAGTTTAATGAAAAGAAGGACACTGGGAGACATGATAACAGTGTTCCAATATCTCAGGGGTTGCCACAAAGAAGAGGGAGTCAAACTATTCTCCAAGGCACCTGAGTGTAGAACAAGAAGCCATGGGTGGAAACTAATCAAGGAGAGAAGCAACTTAGAACTGAGGAGAAATTTCCTGACAGTTAGAGCAATTAATCAGTGGAACAGCTTGCCTCCAGAAGTTGTGAATGCCCCAACACTGGAAGTCTTTAAGAAGATGTTGGATAGCCATTTGTCTCAAATGGTATAGGGTTTCCTGCCTGGGCAGGGGGTAGGACTAGAAGACATCCAAGGTCCCTTCCAACTCTGCTATTGTATTGTAACTCTGGACACTTCACAGTGCTAAACAATAAAAACAGTATAAATACAAATGCAAAAAAGCAGTGAAATATAATACGCAGAATATGAAGGTATCTCACATTTAATCCTTAATAACAAATTCACTAACATCGAACTCCATTAACAACTTAGTCTTAATGCTTATATGAGAAAAACTAGTTTTGTTACAGCTTTCCTTAAGGCCAGTAGGGTCAGTGCCATCCTGATTTCCAAGGGGAAGGTTTTCCACTGGGCAGACATGGCAACAGAAAAGAAATGTCCCTCATGTCTGCATAATGACCCTATTTTACTAAAACAGAGCTGTCAAACTCATGGCCCGTGGGCCAGATGCATCATATACTGGCCATGGCCACGCCCGGTTTAGTGAAGGGGAGGGGGAAGTCACAATACATCACGTGATGCCACTGTCACAACGCGCGTTTGACATCCTTTCACTAAAGGGATCCAGCATATGCTCACCCTCCCAGATCTGGTGAGATGGGCACAAATGAATGGAAACGGACAGGCTCACCTGTGATCTGGCCTTGTGCCATGTAGAGCTTTAAAGGTGATAGCCAGCACTTTGAATTGCACCTGGAAGAATACCGGGAACCCTAATACAGCTCACACATCTGAGGAGTTACATGGGCAAACTTCAGTACATGCAATGCTACACATGCTGGTATATTATGGATCAACTGAAGCTTCTGAATGCTTTCCAAAGATAGCCCCATGTGCAGTGTGTTGCAACAAGACAGAGGATGCTAAAGCATGAGTACCTGTGAGCAGAGTCTCCTGATCTAGCAGCAGTGCAACTGGAGGATAAGATGAACCAGGGTAAAGGCCGTCCTATTCTCCCACCAATTTTAAGCTTGTATGCCTGACTTCTATCTTAATTTCCAGTCATCCTAATTATTTAATGTAAAGCATTTCTGGGTCTCTACTTTTTCCATCTTTTTTTTTCTTAATAGGGGCAGAAACAGCTGTACAAAGAAATTCCCTCCACAGACTATCCTTGTAACCTAAGGAGAGTTGACCTGACCTGACTTGAGAAAACCAAGGACAATGTGCTCCTGTATCAAAATATAAATTAAAAGGGAGTGATTCAGTGGAATATGAAGCATGTGCTTCCTGATTCTTTTTAGGTCTCGAGTCCACGGTGAACGTGCCTGGAAATTAATACATTATAGCAGCACAAAGTCCCGGCAGGTGCAGCCAGGAACAGACCTTATCTTTTCCACCCAGAAGTTTGAACACTGAGGTGTAGACTTCCAAGAATGGGATGTGGCCTAATGAAGCTTTTGCAGGAAAGGTACAATCAAGTTTGTTCTTGTAATGTTCTTTGTGTAGATGAAGCTATGCAACAGAAAACAAGTGATCTGGAATAGAAAATACACCCCTGTAACATGGCTGCATGCTCATCTGTCAGCATTTGGAAACAAACTATTACAGGATGGGGAGGGATAAGGGTGCCATAAATGGGCCTTTCCACTAATTTTCTGAACATAAAATCCATGTTCATGTTGACATGAAATTCAATCAGACATATTTTCTCCTTGTTAATGATTTTTGAAGATATTAGAATGTAGATAATCTGGTGAATCATATTTCAGAAAACTATTTTAACCTGCTCATTTTCTCAACAATAGAGCTTTCGTCCAGATAAATAATTAACAATATATTGTCATTGATTCAGAGAGCTTTTGAAAAATTGAAAAAAATTATAGCAAAGAAAAATGGAACCCAACTAAACAAGTAAATTAATTTCATGGATAAAATGTAAAAGTTTATTTTTTTCCACGGGCACTTTCATGTTTCTTGTGGGGTGAAGTAGGAAAGTATCAAAAATTTTAATCTAATATGGGCAAAGCATAAATGGGAAATTTTAAAACTCTGTCAAACATCCTAGTTAACAGTTTATGGTTGACAGCATGGTGTGGAAGTCTAGTGATCAAGCTTGAGTAAATCATAGTTTCTGATTGATTAGTCTGTCCCAACTGTCTCAGCTTTCAGTTTAATTGAAATGTTAGAAATATTCCCTTGAGGTAAAACTTAAATGTTGTCTACTTAGAATGCTGTAGGAATTGGGAAGTGGGCGTCATATTTGAACGCTGTTAGAGTCTCATAAATGAAATTTGGTTGTTACGAGAAGCTTAATGATGGGAATTGCAGAACTAAACATGTTTATAAAGTGCTGGTCCTTGCTGTGATATGGTGACTCTTTGTGTTTCCTTTCCTAGCCTTTGCCCGATCATGCAAATGTGGCCAGCTGTGGCAGCCCCTTCCAGATAGCGCCCGGTAAGAATATCTGGCTGGACTTCTACCCTTTGTGCCTACATCTCTTGTCTTCTTTTTCTTCTTATGTTTTCTACATGAAGCACATAATTAACAAGATAAACTTACTTTCTGGTCTCCCTGTGTAGGCTATATATCTGAGATATTGTTACCCTTCTTAAATGAACATTTGGTCAAAATAGCAAATGTTCTTTTTTAATCAGTGGTCACTACGATAAAAGCTGGAAGTCTGTTTAAACAATAACAGGAACTACTATTTTCAGGCAATCTATAGAGGAGGGAAAAGTTTTAAAAGTTTAATCGGTTTTAAACTGTAGGTTTCTTATTTCTGCATGTTTGTATTGGAAGTTCTCAATAGTTTTATGTTGCAGTATCCATATTAGCTATGGTAAATGTATAGACTTGAATAAATAGTTCCAATGGTATTCTTACGTAAGAATTTTAGGATGTATAATATACATAATAGTTAACTCTTTCTAAAAACTGGCTCTAGCAAAAAAGTAAAAACCTATTGTGATGAATAATTTTAAAGAATCTTTAATAGTCAATACTATAACAACCTCAATACATAAATAGAGCAATTTTAGCATGCAATGTAAGAAATTCAAGGTGAATAAATTAAAGCATATATTCTAAAATTTAAAATTAATATGCTACCACTCTTATTACAAAAATAATATTGGAATAATATTAGTTATAAAGTCATATTTTAAGCTGTATATATATTTCAGGATTCCTAAATGGCCCTTAAAATAAAGCAACCTTTATTCCTGAAATTCACTCCCTAATAAAATATCTTTTATTTGCTGTATGATTTTTTTTTATTTTTTAGTCACTAACTCCTGCCCAATTCCTTTTAGACACATTTTATACAAGAAAGAAATGTGCTTCCTCAAAATGGATCATTCCTGTAATTGTTCTGATTATCTTGTGCTTATATTATATAATTATTATCATATATTGTACAGCAGTTTGCCTTAAAACACCATTATATTGTAAACATTTGGAATTGGGATAGTTTCTATATAAATGTTTTAATGCATTGGCTGAAAGTATTGTTTAAGGTAATAAATGCTATAATTTTTACTTTTCTCATTAGCGAGTTTCTGGATAATTTGTAAAATACAAAATTTGGCTTTAAATCTGTTCACTTACTTACTGTATAGATTATTACTGGCCTGTCAGAATTTAAATCTAATTCAAGGATCTTATTTCTTCTACAAAAAGTTACTTTTCAAATTAAGAAAAACTAAAGGAATACGTCTTAGTTCTGTAATATCTATTGCTTATGCTACTATATATTAACTATTAGGTTAAAGCTGAAATTGGTTATTTAATATGGCTATCATTGTGTTTTCTTACAGATAATGACTTCTCCATTCTGTCTTGTCTAAAATCATACTTTTGTGTTTTGCTATCTATCTGGTGTTCAGTGTCTGGTGTCTGTTCCTTACACTATAGCCGGGATGGCGAACCTATGGCACACATGCCACAAGTGGCACACAGAGCCATTTGTCAGGGCACGCGATACATGCGCGCGCTGGCCAGCTGAGTTCAGCCTTTTTTAAAGCCATTTTTCCCCTCCCCAGGCTCCAGAGACTTTATAGGAGCCTGGGGAGGGCAAAAACAGCCTCCCCCCCCTCCCGGAAGGCCCTCCAAAGGCTTCAGGAGCTTCCTTGAAGCCTCCGGAGCGCATAAAGCCGAGGTGGCGCAGTGGTTAGGGTGCAGTACTGCAGACCACTTCAGCTGACTGTTATCTGCAGTTCAGCGGTTTTAATCTCACCGGCTCAAGGTTGACACAGCCTTCCATCCTTCCGAGGTGCGTGAAATGAGGACCCAGACTGTGGGGGCGACATGCTGACTCTGTAAACCGCTTAGAGAGGGCTGAAAGCCCTATGAAGCAGTATATAAGTCTAATTGCTATTGCTATAAAACCGGTCCTAAGGGCAAACCGGAAGTTCGGAATGGACTTCCGGTTTGCTCGTAGGGCCGGTTTAAGCCCCCCGAAGTCTTTAGGGGCCTTCTGGAGGCTTCGGCCCTATGAACAAACCGGATGTCTGTTCCTGAACTTCCGGTTTGCCTGTATGGCCGCTTTATGCGTTCCCAAGGCTTCAGGGAAGCTCCTGAAGCTTCTGGAGGGCCTCCGGGAGAGGCTGTTTTTGCCCTCCCCAGGCTCCTATAAAGCCTCTGGATCCTGGGGAGGGCGAAAAAAGCATGCACAAAATGGGGAGCGCCTGTCATGTGCGCATGCGTGCTGGGGTGATTGCACAGTGCACGCCCGCGCACGACCCCCCCATGCGCTCCCCCCGCTTATCGCACGCAAGCCAAAAAAGGTTCACCATCGCTGCACTGTAGATTAGTTCCCTAAATTGCATGTCAAAACCTAACACAAATATTGTTACTTGTGGGTGGAAGTTTTTGGCTCAAATAATCGGTATTGATCTTTAGCTATTTTGAGAAAGCCAATGCCATGCATATAAAAACAGGTAACTCTTAAGAGTT